TTTCCTTTGCTTTGCATGAAAAGTGCAATTTGCTCTATGAGCTCAAAAAATGGAGGACTGAGCTTCGAATGAGCCACCTTACTTCTGTGTGATACAGGACATCACCATGCTTAATGCCGATCTTTTGTAAAAAGTGCTGGAACTGGCAGTGATTTAGGCCACGCGCACAAATAAAGTTGATTGTTTTCATTCCAGTGGCCATAACATCCTCTATTTCCAGAACCTTTCTACACAGAGCCTCTTGATGGATAATGCAATGATAGGTTATCAGATGTTCAGGACAGTTTTTTTGTAGTATTTTCTCTTTTACCAGTCCAGTCAAGCCACACATTGCAGGAGCCCCACCAATCTCTCCCACGGTAATTTACAGCTAGTTAAGGACTTCTCCACCACCTCAAAAAATCTCCTTCCCTGTTGTTGTCCCATGCATGGAAACAATATCCAGCAGCTCCTCGGTGATAGACAGATCTGCCTTTATCAGATCTGCTGTGCTGCATCTGTGTTGTCTGTGCTTTCATCAATGGCTAATGAATAAGCCAGAAAACTGCTTGCATCGTTTGTAATCTGTGTTGTAAGATTCCCTGCTGGCTCTTTCACTCATCAGCAATGGTGTTTCTTGACAAACTGACATTTTTAAAGTCTGTATCTGGTCTGACCTGCTCACACACCTTCAGCATGCACTGTTTTATAAACACACCCTCAGAGAAGCACTTGAAGCGCGAGTGATTTCCTCTGCCACTATGAAGCTCTCACCTCTGCATCATTCTTGACTGTAGCTCTTGAAAACATATCCTGCAGCGATTTTAGTTTTCCTTTTAATTCTTGGACAACTCGTTGTTTTTGTTGGAGACTAAAATTAGCATACGTAGTTCCATGTTTTGTGTCAAAATGCCGACGTGTATTTTACACCTTCATTATGGACATTGTCTCGTTATATAAAAGACATACAGTTTATCTCCTTGAAGTATAAACATGTATTTATTTTCCCATCTTTCATGAAATAGCCGTCCTTCTGCATCAATTTTTCTTTTCTTGGACATTTTGGGGAGACTGTTGAGTTTTCTCAGCCAGAGCGTGTTGGGGACTCACAAGTGGGGAAACACCCCACTCTAGTGGCGGGATACAGTCACTTCATGGGGCATTATGGGAAATGTAGTAGCGGCACAGAATCACAACATAATAATAAATTATACTGTTTAACCCCTTGCGAGCCACATAAAATGGCTTAAAGAGCCGGATGCAGCCCACAGACCTTGGCCTTGCCACATGTGCCATAGACTTTCTGGGCTATTGAAACGTTAAATGCAAAGTTATTGAAACGTTTTGCATTTTAAACATGCTTTTTGGACTTTAAACAACGGTGTTATTGATATGGATATCGTTGGTTATCATCCACAATGCCTTTGAACTCTTAGTATTTGAATATTTCCAAAAGTCAGTGGGAAAAATGAATGGGGACTTTACTTCTAGAATCAGAGTGGACTTTGAAATGTTCGGGACTGTTGAGCTCCAAACTCATGATTTCCTTAACAGATAAAAAAAACAAAAAAAAAAACACTGATAACCCTCACCCTATCACAAGCACCCCTAACCTTAAGGCATGCTGTTTTAAAAGAAATGTAGAATTGTATTAGGCATCTCTTCTGACGAGTTGATTTTAATGGAGCGATTATGTTGTTTTTTTGACATTGTGCATTTGTGAGGTCCAGTGTTTTAGCCTCGTTTACAGTTTTTACACAAACTGACACTTTATTGACATACAAATATGCTGAATATTTACCACATGTACTATGTCACCAAACCAAGTAATAATAAAAAAGCTGTCACATGCATTTTAAGAGTTTCTATTTCTGTGATTTTAAGTAGGGCAGTAGGCAAGTAGGGGGAAAACAGACAAGGAAATGAACAAGGAAGTAAAAGGGTTGTATACTAGTTTAGATAAGGATAAATCATCTTATTGGCAATAAACAGCTGGACTTTAGTTGTTATTATCATAGTTTTAATGTAAAACGCCTTGAGTGCTGGACAGTCGTGGACAGTGACGCTCCAACCAAAACCTTGGATCAAAGTAAGTTTCATCTTTATTTCAAATACTGCTGAGTTTATGTGTTTTTAGAAGCTCTACCACTACTTCAAATGTGCTTTACATTGCATTATTCATTCATTCCAAACTCAGTGGTGGTAAGATACTATTAACGGTTTTGGTTACACTGCTCTTCCGAATATTGCTGCTATTTAAACATTGACGTCTAATTGTCGGTTTAGTGGCACTTTACTATTTTTCAAACATTCTGCTTTTCTGATATGAATAATATTAATGTGATAGCCTATTATACTTCGCACTCCCAGATATCATAAGATGCTTGGGTCAGTGCAAAGTTCTTGATCAGAGAATACTTCGGCCACAGAGTAAATCAGACAGTGGGAAAATGTCCTCACTGATAGTCGTGGGAAACAGTCATGCATTTTAAAAAGAGCATAGGCCAGCCTTAAGGAAAAATATCTCATCTAAAACGGAGGCTGCATGGGCCCTTTCATGACATTAGTGTTGGAATAGCAATACTAAAAAGTGTTGGAAAATCAGCACGTCTAAATAGAGACATGTCATAATGTCAGAATAGACGTGGAGCCCACAGTTTTCAGATTGCAGAATGTGATGATGTCATATTCTCACATGCCACTTAAATTCACAAATATTGAATCTGATCATTTTTATGAACATAACATTTGCTAAATTGCAACACAAACCTGAATTTTAACAATATTACTGTTAGCTGCTCCATCTGTATTGAATATTATTGGTCTATAGATGTTGTCATCTGATCCAATCACTAACTCACACCCCACATTCCTTAGATATTCATTAGATAAGCTCAGTCTTGCCTAAGAACACAATAAAAATATGCATTACAGCCACTTGGCCCATTACACCAGGGTTTCCCAAACTTTTTTTCTGGGGATCCATATTTGAAAAGTCACAAACCTTCATGACCCAAGTCAACAGACATTATTTATAAATCACAAAATAAAGGTGGATCTGAGCATTATTGAACATTAATGAGGATATTTTATTGTTGATTGAGTGATCATGTCTCTGAACAATTAGTATTACTCAAGTTTTAAACAATGAAAAACAGTCACTGAAGCAGCAATAAAAGGATCCAGAAGTCGACTATTTGGACATTAAATGTAGAACATTTCTTCTTCTTTTTAATATTCAGCTGAACCAGCAATATTGGAACAAAACAGTCTAAAACTGTATATTACAGACTTACATGCAGTTTGTGACAAGGCAACCCAAAAAAAATCTCTTGCGACCCACCTGAGGGTCTTTGGGAAACAATGTTCTACTAAGTCTAACTTTTCATATTTGACCTTACCAAGGTCAAATCAAAACAGGTAACACTTTACAATAACTAAGAGGCTTGATTCATAATGAACAAGTAGTTTACTAAAAATGATTCAGGTTTAGTAACTACGTCATTAAGGGATTAGGAGTTATGGTATTAATTAACCCAATTTCTTGCCTTGTATTTGAGCAAAGTTTGTCTTGCTCCAGTGCAGATATAATGTGTAACCAGCTCCTGATTCTAAAATAAGTCCATTATCTGCATCTAATCATGACGCATTTTATTGTCTGATAATCAGAAGTACACCTCTTTAAGTATTTACTACTAGGAATGTAACAAAAACCAATGAATCAATTAATCGCACGATAACTTTTAACAAGCTCGATAACTTTTACAGACGCGATCATTTCTATTTGTATGCTTGTTTGTTTTCCTCGTCTCTCTCACGCTCTCTACCAAAGAGACTGAACGTCAAAAGGCGTCTATCGCTCTACTGACTCCTCGTTTCGTTAGCGTAATGACGCTTGAACCAACGTGTCTGCATAGACTGTATAGACCATAGACTGTATGTATCTATGGTATAGATGGATTATTTGTTGACAAACACAGTGGAGGCGCATGCAGTCTGAGTGCAGAACTGTCTGCCACTGTCTGTGCAGTGAAAACACAACGCAGGCGCCACACTCAGAGCATCGAAACAGTTCATCACCATGTGACAAAACACGTCACTATGCCAAGTCAACACTAGTCAGTGGGATCTGTCTCAATGGCCACATGTGTTAAAGTCAGGCGAGTGAAATGCAAACAATGAGAAGTAATGGGTCAAACTCCAGCAGCCGACATACACCCACCCGATCCACACAACTAGCATAGCCCCTGGGAGCTGCCGAAATCCACTGAAAACCCACAAGACTCCAACACAATACGAGACAGGACAGCGGCTCCTCATTGCCAGATAGGATCATGTAGAACGGGTTAATACGAACACTTCAAGACAGAGAGAGGGGCCACAACAATCCAATTTAAGTCAATAAAAAGAGAGTTAATAATCCAGGTTATTTATTGTTTTGGTTGTGTTTGGTTCAGCAGTGGTTTATTCAAGTACATTTTTGTCCTTGCTGTAAGTACACTACCTTAGACTATTCTTATGTTAACAAGTCCATTTCATTTAGGCCTGTTGTTTTTGTTTGTCTTGCAGTTCCTTTGTTAAATGTTCTTTAGAAAGTAAAGTTGACTGATCTTTGAAAGAGTGTATTTGTATTTTTATTTCATTGTCATTACATTAGTTGAAAATGGTCTCAAAATGTCAATATTATCATTTATCACAATCATTTCCTGATCAATTAATCGTTCTGACAAATCTGTTACCGTTACAGGCCTAGTTCTTAATAAACCTTTTTTATTTTTTTTTTTTCATGAAATAAGTGTGTCAATTAAAGTATTTCCAACATTTTAAAGATGCACTATGTAACTTATTAGTGGGGGGTCCATCTTGTTTCTATGGAGATGTCATTGTTCTGCCTGGAGTGTTCATCATCACAGTATGACATTAAACAGCTCTAGCGTACATTTGTTCAATTACACATTGTATTTTACCTTCTGATTTGACTTCTTCTTCCTTGACTGTGTTTTGTTGCAGTTTTGCACAGAATGGCTTCCCAATCAGAGGAGGAGCTGTGCTGCCCGATCTGCCAGGACATCTACACGGACCCGATCGTACTGAGCTGCAGCCACAGCTTCTGCGGCGTCTGCCTGGAGGACTGGTGGAAAACAAAGGAAACCAAAGAGTGTCCACTGTGCATGAAAAACATTTCTGAAGACCCAACCATACAAGAGGCAAAGCAGCAGCCACTCAACTCCGTATGCAAAATTCACTCCGAGGAACTCAAACTTTTCTGCACGGACCACCAACAGCCTGTGTGCCTCGTGTGCCGGGACTCGGAAAAACACACCGGACATAAATTCCGACCTATCACCGAAGCAGCCCCCATTTGCAGGAATCAGCTTGATGAAGAACTGCAGACACTAAAGAAAAAACGACAAGATATGACTGAGAGCAAAGACAAGCTTTCGGCGACTGAGATCTACATACAGAATCAGGTTGAACACACTGAGAGACAAATCCAAAAACAGTTTCGAATGTTCCAGGCGTTTCTCGAAGAGGAAGAAGAGGTCCGAATCCAGGCCGTGAGGGAAGAAGGGGAGACGAAGAGGAAAAAGTTCCAAGACAAAATGGCGGCGATGACCGAAGAGATCGAAAGTTTGTCAAAGATCATCGCGGAAACAGAGGAGCAGCTCAAAGCCACGGATGTCTTCTTCCTGCTTCAGTACAAGGATGTGGAAGAAAAGCTGCAGCACTGTGCCCTGCAGGAGGAACCACAGTTGGAGGAGCCTGGAGCTTTAGTAGACCAAGCCAAACATCTGGGCAACCTGGCCTTCAACATCTGGACCAACATGAAAAGCTCAGTTCAGTTCTATCCCGTCATTTTAGACCCGAACACCGCTCATCCAGAACTTGCTCTGTCCGAAGATCTGACCAGCTTGAGTTTCGCAGAGAGACAGAAGCTCCCAGGGAATCCAGAAAGGTTTGAGATGTACCGCTGGGTTGTGGGGTCTGAAGGGATGAGTTCAGGTTCTCACAGCTGGGACGTGGAAGTCTCGGGAGACAGCTGGACCGTGGGTGTAGTCAGTGGTAATGTGGAGAGGAAAGGACAGATAATGGAAGGCGTTTGGAAGATATTTCTCTATCACGGTAAATACTTTGCGTTTTCTCCACCGGATCCCGTCAGGTCTCTCACGGTGAAGAAAAAGCTGCAGCGCGTAAGGGTCGGCGTGGACTTCAGCAGAGGAGCGCTGATGTTTTTTGATGTCAGCACGAAGAAATGTTTGCACTCATTCACGCGCACTTTCGACGAGGTTTTGTTTCCCTACTTTGAGACGTTTAGTCCGGAGCAATTGAAGATTTTACCAGTTCAGTTCAGTTCAATTCAGTTTAAGCCTTAGAAGTCAGATTTAGCAGATCTGTTAGTTCAAGTATGGAAGCTTGTGATGTTTTAAAGTGCCTGGATTACACTATTTTTGATCTGTTATAATCTTGTTTCCTCACCAAAACATACCCTGAGTCGTGTTGCGTTTCATTCACACACATTTAACCCAAACACATCCTGCATGTTTAGCCTGAAGCTTTGGATATGTAGGTATATTAAAGAGACAGTCTGGAATTTTGGACCTTATTTCCAAGTTATCCAGAGTCTTGGAGACATGCGGAGACACTGAAATATAGGCGAGTTTCAGCTGACATCATTGTTATTAAAAGCCCGCGTTGCATGCTGGGAAATATTTTGGTCGGAGGCGAGAAACACGGTAGCGGTCAAACACAGTGCATAACCTTGTGTATTTATCCCCGATAATGGTAAATTCCTGCTGCATTCCTGCACAAATCGAAGCACGGAAGAAGGAAAATGTCTTTTTCGTATTCTGAGTGAAAAGAACCACTAACAGTGAATTAAACGGCTTTCAAACATTCGCATAGCAAACGTAGAAGATCCTAACAAACTGTGGACTCCAACAAGTTCAACAACACATCGAGACTCTTGGAGGTTTTCATCTTTTCTGCTGTGAATGGCCCAGGAGTTTCCACCAAGTCATTGTGGATATCGCCCAAGTGAATATTTGTCCAGGTAGTTGGCGATTCCGACCAGAAATTTGGTTTGGTCCAGGCTCTGTAGAGGTTGAAAAGGGTGATTTGGCGTCCGTCGATGCTTATGACCAATTTCTGGTCAAATGGTCTTGGGTCCTCTGTCGTTAGAGTGGATAAATAACCGGGATCAATACCCTTTACGTGCTTTCTCGCTCCGTCCGTCATGTTCAATTAGTGTTTATTGCCGCCGATCAAAATAATTCCCAGCATGCAACACACGCTTTTGTCAACAATGAAACTCGCCTATTCCATCCAGTCCTTGTATGTGCAGAGGTCGCTGGTGCTAGACTAGTGCATGTCAATGGTCATAGTTCTCCTGCCAATAAAAACCTTACCCACTCCACAAAACACCCGAAGAAAATCTATTAGGCTAAAATAAAAAATATACATTATGAATATGAGTGAATGTATTATATATAGGCTATATAGTATTATAATGAATGTCAGAAACACTATTGGTCACTATTGGGTGAACTATATCTATCAGAGCACAACACACACCAAGAGCAGCACAACCTGATCCACCACTCACAACAACATCACAAAACTATAATAAGAGGCTACGGTTACAATATGAACACACAGCATCAGCGACGCTCCTACAGCACACGGCAGAACAACTGGAGCAGCTCCATCACATCCACGAGCTCATTTACACACTATTTAACTATTTAACTATAACACTATTTAACTATAACACTATTTAACTACCTGTTAGGCTCCATCCTCAGATTTGCCCCATACTAATGAAAACTAGTCTCTTACCTTCTCCAGAGGACGGAAGCAGAGTCTCTATCTGCTGTCTCATTGGTTCTGATGGCTGTTGCCAGATTGAATGTTTTTCTACTAAATATTGCGTTCATGAACTATCATTCAGTTAATGGTTCAGTTACAACACTGGTGCCAAGTGATATCAGTGCACTGCTGCCAAACTTTCTATCAGGAAGTACAACTCACTGCTGCTGCTCAGACAGAAATTCCTTCAAATGCAAGGTTGGTTTTACTTCTAAAATGATTCTATCAACACAGACATTCACATGGACAGTCTGGTGTTAACAATAGATTTGTTTCAGGTGTTTTGTGGAGTGAGTAAGACTGTTTTTAGTGGCAGGAGAACTATGGCCATTGACATGCACTAGTCTAGCACCAGTGACCTCTGCAAATACAAGGACTGGATGGAATATTTCAAAAAGTGTCTCCACACGTCTCCAACACTCTGGCTCACTAGGAAATGAGGCCCTATGTCCAAAACTCCCTTTAACTTTAGAGACGGTGTCAGTTCAGAATGTGAAGTCATTTCACAATGTGAGGAGTTTATATTTCATATTGGAAAGCTATTTAAATTCATAACATAAAATCATTCCAGTAAAAAAAGTATTTCTATATTAGTTTCCTAATGTTAAGTAAATAGTGTAGTACCAGTTTCAGAACAAGCTAAGCCCACTCAGATCATACACCTTCCTCACTGCCTCCAGAGGAAACAGTGAACAGTCATCAGGCACAGAGAGCATGAGGAGTAAACCTGCTCTCTCTGTCTGCTTCATGCTCAGGAAGGAGCATCAACAACTCTTCATCGTGGTCAGCGAGACCAGACACTTTAGAAACACATTTCTCAAGTCACAAACTCTAGAAATGATCCCTGAAAGTATAGTCTTAATGTGAGACAGCTCTACAACACACACTAGAGCCACCAGACTGACACTCTGGTCCATGGGAACATGTCTCTGTCCTTGTGTCTTCTCTGTGTCTCCTCTCTCCTCACACTGTGTCCTCTCTCTTTACAATATGATGCCATTTCACAATGGCATTTCATTTCACAATATGATTTGACTTTTGGATGTGATGTCATTTAATTTTAAAAGATGGTGTTACTTTAGAGCAGACATGTCAAACTCAGGCCTGCGGGCCAAATTTGGCCCACAATATAATTATATTTCAAATCAAATCAAATAATTATTTGGCCCGCAAGTTCATATCAAATCTGTATTAGAGCTGCCCACCGCCTACAGAACGACTATAGGGCAGAGATCTATAACCTTTTTTCTGCAGTGAGCTCCTTTACCAAACAAAAATGTCAGAGAGCCACTGTACCAAATTCAGCAGTTGCAAAGAAACAGAGTAAATATAAGAACCACAGCCTTAGATGGGGAACAGTTGGATCCTTATAAAACATAAACCATTATCCATTTATCAGTGCACCAAATTACACATCAAAATGATACATTTACAATGGTAATTCATCAACTTTGACTTATTATGCACAGTACATATCATTTAAAAATACTTAGGCGAGTTATTTGGAAGAGGATGGAGAGTTTCTGGTAGCTCCTGAGCTACAGGTTGGAGACTCCTGCTACAGAGACATTATTTATTTAAATTTTAGTTAAGTTTAAGCAAAACTATTATTAAAAATTAGTTTCAATAAGAAAAGGTTCTTGAAAGAAAAGAAATTATGCAGATGTTTCTAAATAAATATTTAGTTTGGCCCATGACTTAGTCCCAGAATTTTTTCCTCTGTGAGTTTGAGTTTGACTCCCCTGCTTTAGAATGTGATTTAATTTTAGAATGTGAAGATGTTTTATTTTAGAATGTGATTTCATTTTGTAATGCTATTTATATTTAGAATGTGATGTTATTCCAGTAAAGATTTTGATTCCATGTCACTGTTTTAGGGCGCACACACTAGGACTTTAGAACCTTGTCGTGTTCAAACACTATTGTGTAGAGTTCTATGTTCCACACTCACATTTGCATATCTAAACTGTGCCACAGCCCGATAACGTCTGTTTTCCTCGTGTGAGTAACATCAGTGCTCACAAGGGCTTATATAATATAGTCATGTGTGCACGTACACAAGAAACCGTGTCATGCTCTGGCCCAACTCCTTCAACCAAGTCAAAGTCCCAACTGCACCATGCTTAAGCACAGTTCAGTTGCACTCACACTGAACAAATACACTGCACTTCAGGGGTGATCAGTGCTGGGACACAATTCTTTATCTTAATGCAAATGCATCTCAAGTAAAGCTGAACCAACTTCAAAACAAGCTAAGCCCACTCAGATCATGGACAGAGACACAACAGGCTGTGAGACAGACTCATGGAGAAGGTTCACAGGGTTTTTAAACAATAAGCACCGCCCCTTTTCAAGTTGCCAATTACATGACCATTGGTCCACACCAAACAGTAAAACCACACCCATTTAAAGCAGCAGAGGAATGATTCTCTTACCCCGTTACAATTTCATTTAATAACTTGATTTCGTTTCAGAATGTGATTTCATTTCACAATATGATATGACTTTTGGATGTGATTCCTTTTCAGAAGGTGATGTCATTTAATTTCAGACTGTGATTTTACTTTAGAATGTTATTTCATTTAGAATGTGACATTATTTAATTTTACAAGATGGTGTTAGTTTAGAAGGTGAACTCATTTTTATGTGATTTTGTTTTAGAATGTGAGGATGTTTTATTCCAAAATGTTATTTTATTTGGAGCACTACTTAAATGCACATTAGGATGTTATTTCAATTACTAAAGTGTTTGAAAATCAGTATCCCAATTTCAAGACAGTAAAGCTACACTAGTTTTAGAACAAGTAAACACCACTCAGATCATACACCTTCCTCACTGCCTCCAGAGGAAACAGTGAACAGTCATCAGGCACAGAGAGCATGAGGAGTAAACCTGCTCTCTCTGTCTGCTTCATGCTCAGGAAGGAGTATCAACAACTCTTCATCGTGGTCAGCGAGACCAGACACTTTAGAAACACATTTCTCAAGTCACAAACTCTAGAAATGATCCCTGAAAGTATAGTCTTAATGTGAGACAGCTCTACAACACACACTAGAGCCACCAGACTGACACTCTGGTCCATGGGAACATGTCTCTGTCCTTGTGTCTTCTCTGTGTCTCCTCTCTCCTCACACTGTGTCCTCTCTCTTTACAATATGATGTTTCATTTCACAATATGATATGACTTTTGGATGTGATTCCTTTTCAGAACGTGATGTCAATTCATTTCACAATCTTATTTCATTTGAGAATGTGATTTCATTTAATAATGTCATTTCATTTCATATTGTGATGTCATTTTAAAATGTTATTTCATTTAATCACAGGATTTCATTTCAGAATGTGATTTCTCTGCAGAATAAGATGTCACTTTTGGATGTGATTTCATTTTCAAATGTTATTTCAGAATGTTATTTTATTTTGAATGATTTTAGAAGATGGTGTCAGTTTAGAAAGTGAAGTATTTTTTAATGTGATTTTATTTTAGAATGCTGTTTAAATTCAGAA